GCAAGGAGCAGTGGCTTTGCTAATGGTAACGTGGGGGTCGTGATGGCTGCCAATGGATGTCGGAGGGTGGCAATGGGTTGGGGAACAGGCGGAATTGGGTGGTGACTTCCTGGGATTTAGTGGTGGTCGTGGTGGGCGTGCTGGATGTCTTGAGCGGCGGGGCCATGGGCGGTCGACGAAGTTGTGGCGGCGAGAACCAACCTCGGTGTGGGGTGGTGATGATCAGCGACAAGGAAGTTTCACCGGTGGTTGGGTTTTCGCCACGACATTTTTGACTTTAGGGCAGTCGCTAGAGGTGCTACAGGTTTGCAACACTTGTAGCAAAATTTTAGGGAAGTTGCATTTTTTTTTGTTACTGTATAGAGACAGGGCATCTTTTTTACAATAGAGATAAGCTGTTTTGTGCCTCAAATGTCAGTTTGTTGGGCATGGCGGCTGTTTTTGGGTATCTGTTTGTGATGCTCTAATCGAAAGCAAATTTCAACATTTAACTTAGGACTTCCGGGCGTGTTTGGTTGCGTGCAGCTATTTGGCCCCCTTACTAATTGACTGAAAAAAAAGAAACATATTTGGTTCTTACATGTCCGGTCTCGATATACCGCGCTCGATGAGTGCGCCGTAATTGGCCTCAAGCCATACCAAGGACCATTGGCCAGCTGATTGGTCATCCTACATAATACAATAATCCATGCTTAGTCATAAAATTTACAGCAAATATTTGACATCTATACCTGCAATCAAAATGAATAAGGCTCTTAAAATGCATGTATTTGGACAAAGCCTACATAACACCACATGCATGACAATGCAACATCACACATTCATCCGTGCATATGCATTTCAATTTATCAAATATTATCATACACCAAAATGGTATTACAATTTGTCAAAGAAGTCAGGTGACGATGGCATATGCACATATCTATTCATCCATACAACCACATATGCACATAAGAGAAACATCCATACTTCCATGCATATGCACATTTTCCTTACTTTAACACTAATAAACTTTGGACGCCGATAATGTCCACACGTGTGGTCGTTAAGGGGTCTGGCCACACGTTTTGTGTGGTACCTAAAGAACCAGTCCACACCTCTGCGTGTGGGCGTTAAGGGGTCTGGCCACACGTTTTGTGTGGTACCTAAAGAACCAGTCCACACGTCTGCGTGTGGGCGTTAAGGGGTCTGGCCACACGTTCCATGTGGTACCTAAAGAACCAGTCCACACGTCTGCGTGTGGGCAAAACAAGTAATGCCCACACGTCCGGTCTTTTGTCTCGCGGTCCCTCTCACATGCTTGCGTGTGTGCAAAATAGATAACGCCCACATGCTCGTACTCACGGTTCCGCACGCTCCGCGTGACAGTCACCACGCGTCCCCGCAGTTGCCATGGTCCGGACTCTCTTCCATGTTCGTTTAACTGCAGTTGCCATGTTGTTGAACTACAGTTGCCATGGTTGCTCAACTGGAGTTGCCATCTTAGGTCGAGTGCCAGATGCCATTTTTGGACAACAACAGTTGTTGCCATGTATGGTTTGGTCTACTACAGTTGCCATTATTTGAAAACTTTAGCAGTTGCCACCTACTAACACTAGGCAGTTGCCATGTAGCAATACAAAAAAGGCATGGCAAAAAACATGTTCGGGTAAAGAGAGAGTTGCCTTCTGCTTACAAGCACGCTAAGGCACACTAGTATAAAACAGGGCCTTTCATTCTGGCCAGATAAGCCCATTAGTCCCGGTTCTGTCACGAACCGGGACCCATGGGGGCATTGGTCCTGGTTCGTGAGGCCAGGGGGCTTGCCGGGCCTCGTGGGGGCATTGGTCCCGGTTCGTCTAGCCCCTTTGGTCCCGGTTGGTGGGACGAACCGGGACCAATGGGCCTCGCTCCTGGCCCACCACCATTGGTCCCGGTTGGTGGCTTCAACCGGGACCAAAGGTGTCCTTTAGTCCCGGTTCAAGCCACGAACCAGGACAAATGATGTGCCTATATATACCCCCTCGCTAGCGAGCAGAGCACTCCACACTGCTCTATTTTTTCTGGCCGGCGAGGGGAGGGCTTTGTGGTGCTCTAGCTCACCTTCTATGCACATGAGGTGTTCGATGGAATGCCCTAGCCACACTACTTAAGATTTCTCCTCTCCAAGCTCGACCTCCAAGCTCCATTTTCCTTAATATTTGTCTAGGTTTAGCGGCCCGTCACGTCCCGTCCCCGTCTTCACCGCCGTCGA